TAATTGGGGTAGGTGTGTCGGAGACAATGAGATTGGCATAGGATAGAGCAGGGTTTAGGGGTGTTGTACATAGCGTCGCTATGAGTTGCAGGCAACTTGATGGCACACAACAACAACAACTTCAATACCTTCTCCATTTATCATAATGTTGCTTATTGGTCTAGTTGTGTCCATTTTTCATTATTTCTCAATTATTTTCCAATCATTTCTCAACAGTTTCATTATGCTGAGATGTAATCTACATTCACAAAGGCAAGTCTTTGCTCTTCACCAGTCAATACTTAACTCCTCTACATTTTTATTAAGTTTATACATTTTATTAAATGTATCATTTGCATATCCAATCAGACCCACTTTTAAGTAAATTTTCCAAGACTTCTGACACAAATGATTAACATTTCTCTCTGAATCCCTCATCTCCCTGAATTCTGCTCATCTAGGATGCCTCTGTTCCCCACCTCCACTCTCACAAGAACTGCGATCTGATTTTTTTTGGGGGGGTAATATAAAGACAGAAGTCTCTTTACAGAAGTCCCAGCCTCTCTGACAATTTGAGTTCACTGGTGGCTCCCCAGGAGAAAGGTGAGCAATCTCTTCCTGTGCAACTTACAACCTCTGAGAACCTGCTGGGAAGTCAGTTATAAGTAGATTCCAACTCAACAGTAATCAGTTTGGTTTCATTCAAAAGCCTAGTGGTTCTCTTTTCTGGTTACACTTCTCAGTGTGGCTTAAGTCCACCCCAAGCCCCAAGTTCTCTGGATGTTTTTCTTGGGAGAAAACAGCACTATCATGAAGCCAAAGCTGTGGACGTCCCACACATGGACATCAAAGTGCTGAAACAACTCAACAAGAAGCTGGTCAAAAAGCTGGCAAAGAAGTATGATGTCTTTTTTGGTCTCCAAGTCCCTCCCTCATCAAGCAGATCCCGAGAATCCTGGATCTGGGCCTGAATAAGACTGGTTAGGTCCCTTCTCTGCTTACTCACAATGAGAGCTTGGGGAGCGGACGGGGGGGAAGGAGATGAAGTGAAGTCTGTCATCAAATTGCAGATGACAAAAGTGCTGTGTCTGGCAGTAGATGCTGGCCATGTGAAGATGACAGATGATGAACTTGGTCACAGCATCCACTTGACTGTTGGAGGTTGAAACTTTCTGGTTTCACTGCTAAAGAAGAATTGGCAGAATGTTTGGGCTTTGCACATCAAGACCATGAGCAAGGCCCAGCATCTGTACTAACACACAGCTCAAGAAATCTTAATGTTACTGCTGTTACATGCCATTGAATCACTTGAGACTCACAGCAACCCTATGTACAAGAGCTCTGAACTCTACTCTATCCTGAGCCAGTCTCTCTGTCTCCAACACAACTATCCCCACTATCCCAGTTTTTTTTTTAAAAAAGTCCCCTGGTTCAGTCAACTCAGCTTGTGTCATTCTTTTTACTTTAGAAACGATTTCCATTAATAATACACTGTAGACTTTGTTCCAAAAAAATTCTTTTCACATTGTGGACTAAAGAGTTCCATAACTGTGTGATAGTATTCTAACTTCATCTGTTCCTCTCACCATCACGCAACAGAAATACATGAATGCCTGGAGTGGAAACCACCTAGGCTATTTCAAACATACACAGTGAAGGAGAATGCTATTTATAAAACAGCAAATTCCACGATAGTCACTTAATGGGAAATGACTAGACAAGACATACAGGCTTTCAAGAGTTAGTTTCTAAGGCTGTGTTTGCAAACAGTGTGGGATTTACAGCTAAAATAACAAAGTTACAAAATTTTTTATTTCCTGTCCTCAATTTTTTCCCCATTCTTCTGGATTGATGCGGTGATGTTTTTGTTCCTTCCATATTTATAAATGAAACAGTGTTTTTTAGTGTTTCTAAACAATATCTGCTTGGTTTGAAATCAAGTGGTTGGAACACCATTTTGACTTTTCATTTATGTGCATGCTGACTGAAAGCTTCATTTAAGAAGCATTCAGCCTGTGCTGGGTTTGATTCTGTAAGTGTAGCACAACACCTAATGTTTCTGTAATGTGCTCTGTTTTGAGAACCAATACTCAACGTGGATTTTGTTCTTGGACAGTATCCCAGTAGATTTGATGACATTGTTGGCTTGAGGTCTGATTTTTAAAAAATATAGAATTAAGAAATCTAATGTTTAAAAAAAATACAGATTTGTATATATATTAATAAAACTAGCAAAATCAAACTAGATTGGATAGTAATCTAAATTCTAGTTGGATAGAGGAGGGGAAGGTTTGGTGCCATATTTCTCCCTTCACGGTGTTGGACTTAAAATCAGTTGAATTGTATTTCTGTACAACTTATGCTTCAATAAAAATTTTGCTTAATTAAAAAAAAAATAAATAAAAAGTCCCCTGGTTCACTGAGTGATTTAACAGAAGACTGAGCCAGTAGGAAGAGCTTCAGAAGGATTTTCCCCTCATCCATTTTTCAAGAGTGTTTTATTATGGTAATCTGCAAACACAGCACTTAGCTTTAAGAACAACTAAAATATAGCCAAATCTGGAAGGAAGAAATCAGTTATTCAACATAAATACACTACTTTAAGAAATGAACTGGTAAAACATAGGCAATCTCCTCTCATGTAAGTCACAACACTGGAAAATCTGTTGGAGGGTAAGCGGAATCAGTTCCAACTTGATAATGATAATTATTTACTTAAAAATATAATGTTTAAATGAGAGATATTTCCTTATAAATGTATATGAAAAATGCTCTTTAAGTCCACTTACAGCTCTGACTCGAAGAAGATGAGAGATAACAGACTGCAGCTCATCACTGTAGTGTTTTAGTTCAGTAAATCTCCTGAAACAAGAAACAAACACATCATTTTTCTCATGAAAGAAACAGTCAAAAACTGAAAGACAAAACAGTAGTTTCTGAGAATAATTAAGCTGTCTCTATTTAGTCTAACAGTGGCCTTGAATTTCTACATCTGATATGAATTTTTTTTTTTTAACATGAATCTTTAAAATGATAAAATAAGACAGTCACACTTTTTGGACCACTGGAATCCACAAAAGGGTATTATGCTTTCCCATTTATATGGTAGGACTGAGAGAGAGATAAAATTTATCAATATAAAAAATACTTTGGAAAACATGGGGGTGGGAAATATGGTGCTAAAAAAATCTTTTCAGTATAAACTAAGCTTGACCTAAACAGTTCCCAGTAACGTTTGTTTTCTAATCTGCTCACTCCGTTCTCTGTAAAGACCCCAAACTTCTGATCGTACCACTCTCTGAAGAACCTAACTTCCTTCTTCACAAAGCAGATGCCATCAGATAGAAATGATCACAATTCTCCACATTTCCATTTAACATTTCTTGCCAAAATCCTTAGCAGAAAAGAGTTTGTATTTTCTTACAAAGAACCTTTTTTGTGTGGAATGACCTTGGAGGACTATGAGTGGTTTCCTTTCACTCTCTAGTCACTCAACCCTCTTTGTAGTTCTCACAACATGCATCTCTTACAACTCCTACTTTAATATTCATGAAAGAACTCCTAAAGTATTTGTAAAAAATGCAGATTGTAAATAACCACAAAATGGAACACAGAGCCTTTGGCAGCCATCAGGCAAATGAATTTGTAACAAGGTCACCCACAGGTTGCCGGTAATCCTTTAGAAAACTGGCAGTCTTCAAAATTCAGTCCTAGGTCCAAGGCCATGTTCCACTCAATCTACACATTATTTCTGTGACCTGTCATTTGCAAAGTTTTATGTTTACATCCCACGTTTCTATCTCCAGTCCAAAGTGCTCTGATCTCTATATCTAGAAAGTCAACTGACTAACAAACATTTGTATGCTTATATAGCCTATGTTCACTTTATCTTTACCCACAATCCAAACTCTCTCTCCCCTGTGTTTCCCAGTATTTTAAGATTAAAACCTGGGCGTTATCTCTATTGTCTTCACCTTCCTTCCCCACATAAGTTCTACTGAACACCTATCAATGCTATCTCCTAACTACCCAAAACTGTCTGCTATGTTCTACCCCTCTGCTGATACTCTAGATTCAGATAGGCATCATCATTTCTCATACTGTATTCCTAAACCATTCTTTACTTACTTTCAATCCTGCTAGGTTGAGCTTAACAAATTCCAAATCCAATTACATCACTTTCTTGGTGGCTTTTAGGCAGGTTTCTCACCTCCACACAGGTAATCCATTAGCCCTGAGTTCTAAACTCTCTAATGCAGATTAAGACAATCTTCATCATTTCATCCTTATGCACACCCTGTTAGCCTACATGTTTCTTTCCTATTTACATAAACACTCTGGGGCAGCCATTCTGACATGTAACTCCTTCCCAAGGGGTCATGCACTCAATTTGCTTCCAGGTTTTCTATAGTTTCATTTTCTCCTCTTTCCCCTAAACCCCCTTTAGCTCTTCACCTAGCTAACACATCCCCCCTTTGAGATTTGGCTCAGATGCCACTTCCTAACATACTACACACTCACTAGAGTACACACACTGGAGAGTGAAATGTATGTTTTTATAGGAGCTTTTTCCTGTTGCTAGGAGCTAAACAGAAGATTCCAAAGGGCAGCACATGAAGACAAAGCAAAGTATTATGATGAAATGTGCAAAGAACTGGAGTCATTAAATCCAAAGAAGAACAAATTCAAGTCTCGTGTTGCAATACTTATGGATGCTTTGGACAGAATATTAAATAACCCAGGAAGCATAAGGTAGAAGAATACAGTCATTGTACAAAAAAGAACTGGCTGACACAGAAGAATTTCAAGAAACAGCATATGATAAAGAGGCAATGGTGATGAAGGAGGAATTTCAGAATGCTCTGAAGGACTTGGCAAAATATAAAGCCCCAGGAATTGATGAAATACCAACTGACATATTCCAAGAAACAGAAGCAGCCCTGGACATGCTCACCAGGTTGTGCCAAGAAATCTGGAGGACAACTACCTGGCCAACTGACTGGGAAAGATCCATATTTACTCCCATTCCCATTCCAAAATAAGGTGACCTGGAAGAGCATGAAAATTTTCATATAATATAACTAATATCACACACAAGCAAAATCCTGCTGAAGATTATCCAAAAACAACTGGAACAGTACATTGACTGAGAACTACCAGAAATACAAGCTGGGTTTAGAAAAGGTAGTGGCACTAGAGACATTACTGCCAGTGTCAGATGGATCTTGGCAGAAAGCAAAGAGTACCAGAGAAATATCTGCATTTCATTGACTATGCAAACACATTTGACTGTGTGGATCACAACAAATTGTGGTTAACCTTAAGGAGAACTGAATCCCAGAACTCTTGATTGTTCTTCTATGAAACCTATACTTGGATCAGGAAACAGTAATCAGGACAGAGCAGGGAAACATTGCATGGTTCAAAATCATGAAAAGAGTGCATCAGGGATGTGTCTCCAAATCTGTCTCCATATCTTTTCAATCTATATGCAGAACAGATCATTTGGGAGGCTGGGCTTTATGAAGAGAATGTGACATCAGGACTGGAGGAAGACTCATCAACAACCTATATTATGCAGATGACAGAACCTTGCTTGCTGAAAGTGAGGAGGGCCCAAAGTGCTTGCTGCAAAAGGTCGAGGACTATAGTCTTCAATATGGACTGAAGCTCAAGAAGACAAAGATTCTCACCACGAGCCAAGAGGCAGCACCATAATAAATTGAAGAGAGATCGGGGTTGTTAACAACTACAGCTTGCTCATTTCCACGCTCAAAACTGTTGGCACCAGTAGTCAGGAAATCAAAAGACAAATTGCACTAGGAAAATCTGCTGTCAGGGATCTCTCCAGAGTACTGAAAAGCAACGTCAGTCTAGAGGCTAAGGGGTGCCTGATCCAGGTCATGGTCTTCACAACTATTTGCTATGCATGAGAGAGATGGACGACTAAGGATGACAGAAGAAGAATCGATGCCTTCAAATTGTGCTGGAGAAGAGTCTTGAACATACCATCGACCACCAAAAAAACAAACAGATCTGTCTTGGAGAGGGTGAAATCAAGTTTCTCCTTGGAGGCGAGGATTCTGAAGTTCAATCTGAAATACTTCCTGTGGCCAGGAGGGACAATCCTTGGAGAAGGACATCATGCTTGGAAGAGTAGAGGAACAGAACAAGAAAGGAAGACTCTGGATAAGATGGATTACTAAAGTAACCAGGGTAATGGGAGTAGGTATGTCTAAATAAGAGAGAATGGCTCAGGATAGGGCAGGGTTCAGATCAGGTTCAGATCAGTTGTGCACAGGGTCTCACTCTAGAGTTGTAGGTGACTCACTGGCATATAACACAACAACAACAACCTCTTTACACCTCCCATCTAGACTGCATATTTTATGGGAAAAGGACTTTATCTTTTCTTAGCACCTGAAATAAAACAGAGAGTCAATACAATGTTCATTAAATAATAAATTAGTTACTCCAAATATAAGGAAGATAACATACAATTATCGTAACTTGTTATTTCATTTGATAAAATGTTCATTTCTCTTAAAATATGGAAGAAGAATACAGAAAAACCGATGTGAAAGGTAAGAGTAACCCTTGGGCAAAAAGACAGTGCTAATACGTGTGTGTGTGTCTCTTAGTCATCATTCATAGACCTCATATGTGCATATCTATAGATCATCTAATTTCCCATCCACCTATTACATAAAGAGTACCCATCTCTACAGTAAGCTGGCAAGGCTGAGAACAGCCAATCAGTAAGAGAGATATTTCAATTCTTTCACTCTTAATCCTCTCAAAGCAATGTTTTGCAGCTAAGGAAAAACACTCAACATAAGAGCTGGCAAGATTGGCTGGCCGTTAAGTGAATTAATCCATGTTGACTAATGTGTTACTCTTTGCCTGATCTTACTTACTATGGCATCAGAGATGAGATGGTAGAAAAAGGGCTATTTAATTTTGCTTGCTTTGGAGGATAAAATTCTGAAGAGATAGACATTTAAAAATGAGCAGTGTTAAATTAACCCTTGCTTGAGAAGGAGAGTAGAAATAGCTGGGTGCAGGAATAAAAGTTTTCAGCTACTTTTTCATATCTTTACATTTAGTTAGCCACAAAAAAATGTATAATCTAGCAGAAAGTTTTAAAACCAGGTGCATTATCCCACAAAAAACAAAGATAATTTTTTTTTAAAAAAGGTACATTATGTTAGTTAAGTGTGAAAAGCTTCCTACATGTAGATAAAATTGAACTTTAACTAGTGTAATTGTCCCTGCAGAATTTGTTTCACTGAAATTTAAAAAAAAAAAAAAATCCCTTCAGAGTTTTATACTTGAATTTTAATATTAAGAGTTTATAAGCCTTATCCTTGATGCTATCATCTTGTGCTATGATCCAAGAGGCAGAAATGCTACAAGACTGGGCCCCCTGGGGCTTCTCCAGAATAGATCAGGCTCCCTAAGGACCTTCCCACCTAGCTTCTCAACTCTGGAGCTGGCATGTCTATGGAATGCTCTGCTGTCACACTGGGTTATGAGAAAATTTCCAAGAGTATCAATAGTAAGACTTGGAATACATAAATAAGGCAACCTAGAGGTTTTAAATTAGGTAAACTAGGGGTTATTAGAATTGAGAGAAAAGTTGTCAATAATTTTGATCACAGGATGATTAAAGCACACTATGGTCCCTTCAAAGAGTCAAGGGACAGCCCCCCAGGTGATCATTTCATCAGGAAATTAACCTAAAAACGATGCCATACAACCCCTGGCTATCAAGAACATCTTTGGAAAAATCCTGTCTGCTGAAAAATCAGAAGATGGACTGGCACAATAGCAACAACAATGGCTCAGTATATCAGCTGAGAGGATGATTTAGAACTGGGCAGTATCCATATGTCATACAGATGGCATGTTGCTATGAGTCAGAACTGACTTAATGACACGTAACAGCAAGGATGAAGACTAACAAGTTAATCAAGTTTAAGGTAATAATGTATATTTAAAAGCTACAACATTAAATTTCAGAAAACAATCTAAATTCTTTCCTAAGTCAAGGTCTAGCAATGTTCACTTATAAAATGATGTCTCCTACCCTAAATTATTAGATTTTCTTAAAGAGAGTTTAAAGACTAAAATCATATAAAATAATGTTAAAATCTTGTCACTTTCACTTGAAACAAGAGAGTTAAAGACATTTCTGACTAGGGGATGACCTCCATTCCTAAATACTAATATTTATGGCGCAAAATCAACAAGCTTCACTCAAGCCTATTTTTTTTATCCCCTTATTAACATTACAGGATTCTAATGCATCCCTTTATTCTTCAAAGTGTACATTTATTCAGGGCTCATCTTGAACTCCATCACGTCTAAACTAAACACACCTCTCTCAAAGGTCCATGGCACAAATACAGTCTGGCATCTGTTATCCATGTTGTGAGGCTGCTTTTGTATTTCCTGATAGCTTCAGTTTTCTCTACTGAACTACCCTGAAAGTGTTTCAAGTCATTCAGACTCTGTTATATGTCTCTGTAATTTGTATAACCATCACCTAGGATAAAGCCATGAAAGATGAATTCTAGCTGTCAAAGTGACATGGAAATAGCAGAGACTCAGTCCAGTCTTCACCCTCCTACTGTTCCCTCCTGTGCTGAGGAGCCATGAGTTCTTCAAAGAAAATTTATTGTATAAATCTTGTCTCCCTATCCTTACTCTCTGCTCCAAACTCAATGTAAGCAAGTGATAGAACTTGATAGCCAGGAAACTCAAGAAATAAATAAATCATAATCTTAAATATCTGTGTAGCCTTGCTTTAAAAAAAAAAGGCAGAAGAAGAAAATCATGATTATTAAAGATCAATAGATTTTTCTTAAGTCAAAAAAGGGGAAACTAAAGCCACAGCAAGAGAAAATCATGATTACTAAAGTTCAATAGTTTATGCCAAAAAGGACGGAGGGGTTTGAGGGGCAACTGAAGCCATAATTGGTAAAACTTTTGCTATGCACGAGTCCAAGACATGAGTGGTTATTCTTGTTTATTTCTATTAGAAACCGACTTTTTAAAAAAA